ATCTTATTGCCCTTGATTGGAATGGTCCAACCCCAGGCCAAAAACATCTCCTTAACTATTCTGTCATCTTGCCACTCTTAAGTCCATTTCTAGAATGGACTCTGCTAGCCACAGCCCAATGGGGTGTTGGTTATGGATCAAATAATGTAAAAAATAAAATAAAATAAAAAATAGAATGGTAATACACATCTTACATGTTTTATATATTGTTAAATATTTTTATACATTTTTTACATATTTCAATACATTTTTTACATATATTCCAACTTTAGCATTTCCCTTCTAGTATTCATACTGGCATCCTATTTTTGACTTGCCTTGACACTTGTTTGTCCTGAAATTATCACTTGAATACTGCTTGTTTCATACTCATGATGTTTTTTGGATAATCAACATTTCAAAGCATAAAGAGAAGATTAGCACTGATCATGCGCAAGAATGACACAAGCATATTGAGATAAAGCATCTATATTCCAATGTATTTTGACTTTTCCTGCCACTTATATGTTGTGAAATTATCAACTTAATAGTGCTCGTTTCATACAAATGATATTTCTTGGATATTCATTGTTTGAAGAGTAAAAACATGTTTCCTCGCATATGCAATCTTAAATCTCTCTCCTTCATTTTAATCAGCATACATCAATTGCACATAGCATGCTTCACAAGTTTGATAGTCTGATAGTTGGTCCAAATATATTGCATCCTAAGAGTGCCTGTAATGCTTCTCCAATACACTTTTCGATCTAATAAAAATAATAACTAATACTAATAATTTTTGCATCCTACTTCCCTAAAGTTTCTCTTACTCGAAATAATATAATTATGTGAAGTTATCCATGACATCTAAGCTCAGTAGTATCACTTAGCCACCTTGTACCCAAATCCCCTAGTCTCTATTGTCTAAATTTTTAAAATCAAATCTCCACATTTCTCTAAGGGGATTATCTCTTACTGGATCTGAAGTCGGAGTACCAGTCCAATGATTAAATTCCAGCTTCATCATCAAACATAAGATTATAATTAGTAGGAACCCTTCAAGAAATTAGGAGGCTAATGAGTATGATCATCAATGGCATCTAGTCTGATCAAACCTAAAACAAAATAGATTATTTATGACATGAAAAGGAGGTTTAACGGCCCATGTAAATTTACCCTTCAGCATCTTTTCCATGCTCTTAATTTGCAACGTTGCCGCAGATGCCCCTGATTAGAGTAACCGGACCTGCGAACCCAATTAGTATTGTGTGTTGGGCGTGAAGTGTTTGAAGAAAGGGATGAAAATGGGATGTATAAATTACAGTTGATGATTATTTTGAACATAGTTTAATGGGTTGATTCTTGATACTGTAATTAATGGGTTATAGAATGGAAATAAGTTATTTTTCTCTAGCTTAAGTACTTAACTATAACTGTGTCGGGCATTGTAAACAGAATTGTGATGTCTTCTCTTTTAAGTAATACATCTAATCTTTTCCCCCAAGAAAGATCTTCATGAATCTCATTTACTGGGGAGTTTGGACATCCAACAAAACTGCTACCAAGGCCCAATTCTTCAAATAAGATCCATTGCATAACAAATTAGAGGCGCAGCAAATAACCAGAGTGACTTAGATGATCTCAGCACTTTATTTCATAAATTTTAGTCATACCTACTTACTTTTCCTTAGGAAATTCTGGGGGCATGAAGTATTGGTTTTAGTCAAAACTTGTATTCCTTCCTGGGATCCTGCACTTGGAAGGTGGCACTTCATAATGTTCTAATGGTTACCCATTGCCTGAAAAGCTATCATTGTAACTAGCACATATTGTTTGATGAAACTTGTATCCTTCTTGAGATCCTTCATGGACCATAGGCTTGTGTGTTCATTTATCTGCCTTGGGGCTGCTATCCATTTGGTTTTGAAGGCATGTCTAGAAGAGTTTTAGATGCATAGATTATTGTTATTATTTTTCTATCTAGCTTTATTTGACTACAACTTTTTGAAAATTTTAAAATTTAATAAAAATTCAATTTATTTGGACCTTATTTTGCAAAATATGGTTGAACAGAAGTATATTGTTGCGTGCCATTATCTGTTTAGTAACTTATTGACAGTGTTGTGTTCTTTTGATATGTAGGAATTGATTATGATTGATGATCTTCTGCCTTCTTTGGTTGGAATTGAAGGACGATACACTTCAATCAAAAGAGTCCGAGGGAAGGATGTTAATTTTGCCTTCCAACTTGATGCATCTATGGATTTAGCACTTCATGTTAGAATGCTTTCTTTGTGGTCTTCAGATCTGGTAGTTTAAGTAAATTGACACTTTTGTAAAAATTGATCTGGTTTAAGTAAAAATTGATGTTCATTTTGATGTTTAAGTAAAAACAAGATCAAAAATTGACACTTCAGGTTAGAAATATTTTATTTGTAATTTGTGATGTTTATTTTGAACTTCCTTGCTTTATATCATGGACTGGAATAAAGATTTTGGGTTTTACCGTTTCATTGTTGAATTTCAAAGTTTAAGGGAATATCTATTATTATGTATATATTGGTGCAGTGGTGTGGTGTGGTGTGGTGATGGACTACACAATGGTCCCGTAACTCCCCCAATTGGATAAAGCTGGATTCAATGGCAGACTTGTAGTATCACATTAAGAGACTTGCTATTGGATTTTCACTAAGAGTGTGATTGGGTATGAAAATAGGTGTTCAATCTACCAGTCATAAAAAATAAAATAATTAAAACAAAATCATTTGAGATGCTTATTTTCTGCATATGTAGTTACTGATATTTGCTCCATTCATAACTCTGAAGTTAGGTGATCATAATGTCATTACTTCTATCAAGTTTCCTTGTAAGTACTACAGGTTTTGACCTAGGTAAAGGGCAAATTTGAAATGTGGTCTCATAAGTACTACAGGTTCAAGTAATTTTAATTATTATGGTGTGTTCCCGTTGAGAGGTAAATTGCCTAATGTGAGGGAAGCAAGCCATAAACAGATCATGGAGAACGCTGAAATTCAGAGCATCAAGCAGATTCTTGGACTTCAGCATGGAAAACAGTATGACAGTGTGAAGACTTTGAGATACGGTCATTTGATGATCATGGCTGATCAGGTTTAAAACATTTAACTTCTTGTTTTGTTTTTTCTTTTGGTTCTCGAAAACCCATGTATTGCACACTGTTTGTTTCACTAAGTCTTTATCAATGACTTTGGATTGAAGGCCTAATTTTAATTACATACAGTTTCTCCATATATATATATTTCCGACGTGGTATGTGCACTGTGTAAATGGGATCTATTCTTGGCTTCCATTTCATTAAACTTCTTTTACTGTCTGCTTCATTACTCAAGATTTACATTAGATACTAAGTATTGAAAAAATTCATTTAAATGTCAAAAACAGCGAGTATTTTACATTTAAATGTCATCAAGAATTCAATTTAGCAAATTCACTTCACTTCGATTGCTCAAGTATTGTTTCACACTATGTTATGTATGAACCATGATTTCTTTTTGGTCATTTTTTAGTTATTTTTTCCATCCACACCCTCTATACTTTGAATTAAGATTATTTGTTCTATGCTTATACAGAAAGCTTTATGCAGTCATATGTGATCCAAGTGGACCTCTTTATTTTTGCAGCCAGGGATATGCATATGGTATGAGAAGTTTCCAGATCTCAAATTCAGAGATTTGTTTCTTACATGAGAAAGCTGTGGGTAACAAAATAGAGAATACAGTCCCTAGTCTAGTGGTGGACTTCTTCAATGAAAAGTGTGCAAGACCGAGGAATTAGTGACTATTTAGGCTACGTTTGATGTTTGGGATATGTAGAATTAGTGACTAATTTGTTTCTACATTATATCCCAAATTTGTTCAACTTGTGGTCTTTGGACCTTGTCTTTTTAAGGAATCAACTTCTTTTTATATTAGATATACAGCTTTATTAGCTCTGTTCTTTTTCAGATACTCTTTGGTTGATGTAGGGTCAACAATTGATATACAAGTAAGTTTAGGAATACAAAAATTGATATATGAATAAGTTTTGGTGTGAGTGCAATGCTTGCCAATTTAATGGGTCAACGGGATACATTTATTGGGACTTACAACTACATGTTGGTAAGTGGAGTTATTGTCCTTGTATTTGCAGCAGAATTTAGCTGGTCTAGTTATTTAGGTGGTTATCATTCTTCTCTTGTTTTGTAGTTTAAGAATATTTTGGTTTTCTCCAAACTTTTTATGCAAACTAGTATGCATTTCGTAATTTGAAGAATGCCACTAGTGATAATGTTTTTCCTACCTTTCGTCAGCCCGAAAGAATTAGTGGAAGAACTTATGACTATAAGAGTGATATTTGGAGTTTGGGCATGGTAATTCTAGAAGTTTAGAGTAGTGTTTTTCCTATCTTTTCCACATAGGTTGCATCCATGAAGTTCAGAGAAGTGTTTGCGAAATGTTTGGAGTGCGCAAGTTGCATTTAGAAGAATGCCAAACATTGTTACTATTAAGAGATTCATTGATTAAATTGCGTCCATGAAGTTTAGAGAAGTGTTGCTGCAGTATTGGCAAAGTGTTTGAAATTAGGAAATTGATTGTGTGAAATTTTATTATTACTAATGAATTTATTATTACTAATTGAAAAATTGATTGTGTGAAATTTTACTTCGCTACATATGTTTTAGGAAAAATAACATGGGTGTTTATGGAATAATATAATAAATATAACATAGGTTTGGCTATAAATAGTTGAATTCTTTTTGTCCTTTCTAAAAAGTGAAAATAAAAAGCATTTTGATGTTTCTCTTTATTTATTAGGAGCTTTTTAGAGTAGTGTAGATTAGCTTGTCATGCACTCATATATACTTGGAGCTGATACTAGATCCTTGACTAGCCTTTATTTTTTTTGTGGGTTTATGCTGATCAGTTGATACTTTCAATTTCTTTTAGGCTTTAGTCAAAGATAATATGTCTAAAAGCCATTGTAATAACCATTGACTTTGCAGGATACGAATCCATTGCTACCTGTGAAAATGGTTGAACATCTCAAAAAGGGCATTGGAGCTTACGGACAGGTTTCTTCATTTGTCTCTTCCTTTGTGGTTATTCTCTCTTTTTCTTTCATCTTGTCTGGGGAGGAGCTTGGGATTGGAGGTTAGGAATAGCTAACTGAAAAACATTAAACTAAGAAGACCTCTTTGGCCTGGGGACCTTCGATGCGGATATAAAAACCACCTTCTATTTAAATCTTATGTGGGATGTTGTGCTGAGTGCTGGACTATTCTGATGTAGATGGTGCATGTTGAAAAAATTAGTGCCAGGGTTGCCTGCCATGTTGAAATCCCAAATGAACTGTTAGAGAAAATGAAATTTGCTCTGAAATGTATTGGAATTACTAGGTTGTATAGCCACCAGGTATGGATGTTATCTTGAACTGCAATTCTTTTCTGAGCCAAAATTTTGAATGAACTTTAATTCTTCTGGTATCTGCAGGCGGAGTCTGTTCGGGCTTCCCTTGCTGGCAAGCATGTAGTTGTGGCAACAATGACATCCAGTGGGAAATCTCTTTGCTACAATCTGCCAGTACTAGAAGTATTGTCCCAGAATTTGTTAGCGTGTGCTCTGTACCTCTTTCCGACAAAGGTTCACAGGAATAGATCTCATGCTTTAATTTTATTGTATTATTCTTGGTGATGTGCCTTGGTTCTATTGAATAAAATTGAATTACAAAATGCCTTGGTTCTACTGAATAAAATTGAATAAAATTGGGTGTCAATAAGAAAGGAGATGCTGTTGGACAGTTAAAAACATCCAATCCAACTGAACCTGAAGACGTTGAGGTAAATCTTTGATAATTTTATTTTAGCTATTTGATGTTTATCCTTTTCCTTGTTTGTTCTTATCAACCTAGCACTGAATGTTACACTATTGCGTGTGCTTAATACTTGCAGCCGGCTGATATGAGTCTTGAAGAGATTGAAAGCAAAATAGGTTCTCTTATAAATGCTGATAGTGTTTCACAATTGAAGAGTGCTGTATGGAAAGAACGGCTGGAAGGTTATTCTCTCTCCATGTCCAATGTTTATACTTAGTTTTTCTGATTTCTCTTGAACATGTACCATGAGAAAGAATCCTCCAATAATATTTAATGTGCACCTTAGAATTCACTACCAAAATATTTGAGATTGTAATATTATTATTTAATTATTTACTTAATTTTTATGTTCGGGTTCTCACAAGTTTTGGTGATCATGAAGGGAAGAATGAAAGAGCGTCAGTATAAGTAAGCTATAATGAAAAACCACTATAATTGCAGGTGATGGATATGCTTGGACCTAGTTTATGGGATGTTTGGAATAACGACTCCCACGCGTAGGCTTCTTCTCAAATTTAATTTCTGAAGAACATACCTTTTATCATAGTTTCTTGTTCCAATTGGCAGATCTATGAATCTTCTGTTATGTTTTCCAACTTCAGGATGTCCATTGAAATGGTTGCCTACATTGCCATTGAAGCAATCTCTATATTAGAGAAGATGCACTCCAGAGGGTGACTTTTTTTACCCCATTTACTTTTGAATTTTGCTTATATTCTTTTTTATTTCCCTTGATGTGAGGAGAGGTTTTTCTTTCTTCCCCTTTCTATGTTTGTAAATAAACTTAGAATCCAATTATTATTATTTAGCTGTAGCGATTTCCACTTGTTAAAGTATATGGTCTGTATATGACTGCTACAACTTTATGCAGATATGTGCATGGAGATATAAAGCCTGAGAACTTTTTGCTTGGTCCGCCAAGGACACCTGATGAGAAAAAACTGTTCCTTGTTGACCTTGGATTGGGTAAATTTTACCATATACATTTGTTCTCTGCTATACAAATATAAGACACAGTACGATACTGAATTATGCCAGTTTTTCATTATTCTGACAACACATTTTGACATGCAACAACCAGGTGGCGTGATGGTTCTACTGGTCTACATGTTGATTATGATCAACGGCCAGATGTTTTTAGGTAAGCTAATGTTTCAATAATTTATTTTAGTTCCTTTCTACTAATGTTTCACTTACTATTGTTCTCGCTTTCACTACTTTAAAACCTAGGTACCTAGTATTTACAGCAATCCTATAAAGTGAGCGAGTCATTTCCATTCAAGTGGATAAATAAAAAATGGAGGGAAGGATTCTATGTAACTGCCATGGCTACTGCAGGAAGTAGATGGCCAATTGTCATGTCTCGTAGGGCAGGATTTTTTGATCAGGTTCAGTTATAATTTTTGGAGCTTTGCTCAGTTAGAAAGCCAATTTTCTGGGGAAGAAAACTCATGGTAAATTGTACAAGACTACTTGGCAGTATAAGCATTTTTGGGAGGATTAAATATTTTTGGATGGATGTGTATGGATAACAAATATTAGTAGTTTTATTTGTTGATAGCTGTGCATGGATAACAAATAGTTATGTTTCAAATTGTTATGCTAGATGGATGTGACTTGTGAATGAAAACTTAGAATAGTTGTATTGTGTCGAATGTTAATGAATTATGTATTGTGTCGAATGTTAATGATTCAGTTAATTTGAATGATGCTTTAAAATTATAGGTTTATTATGGATTGAATGAATTACTAGGAATTACAGGTGTATTATTTTTCTGCTTTGGCGACCAATTTATTAGTCGCGACATCCAAAATAATTTTTTTTGCAAAAAATGACAATTGCCGACCAAGAGTTTTGGTCGCAAAAAATACATCTATTGCCAACCAAAACAGCTCTTGGTCGTGGAAACTCACTTTTGCTGACCAAAAGTTTTGGTCGCGAAAAGTAACAAATGGCGACCAAATTTTTTGGTCATGGAATGTTACAATTGGCGACCAAACTTTTTGGTCATTGAACGTGATAATTGGCGACCAAACTTTTTGGTCGCGAAATGTGTCAATTGGCGACTAAGATATTTGGTCGGGAAAATATCACTTTTCACGACCAAAGTGTTTTCGCGACAAAATGAATTAGTCGCGGTAATTAAATATTTAGCGATCAAAAATTTAGTAGGCAAATTCAACTTTTGCCGACCAACCAAAATTTTGGTCGCGAATTACTTTTGCCGACCCTCAATTGACGACCAAAGTAGCGGCCAAAAAAATTGGTCGCGGATAACTTTTGCCGACCAAAAATAGACTTTTAGCGACTAATTTTTTTGTTGCCAAAAGTGTTAATAAATGTAGTGAGAGTGTAGATTATATAATAAATATATTATTTATAAATTAAAAAAATACATTATTTGTATTATTTATATATTAAATAATATAAATAATATTTTTATTTAATAATATAAATAATATTAAAAAAGTTATTGAGCCAAGCTGAACCAAGCTCAAGTTTCATTAATATTAACGAGATGAGCCGAGCTCGGCTCGACTCGATTCGTTTGCAACCTTAGGCGCTGAAATTATCAACCGATATAATAGTACAGCTCGACTAATTCCAAGTGCTGAAATTAATAATCAAACAAACTTGTACCATAATTTAGTGCGATTGTAAACTAATTGTGTGGGGGGAACGGAGGAACCCTCAATTAGCGACCAAAGTAGCGACCAAAAAAATTGGTCGTGGATAACTTTTGCCGACCAAAAATAGACTTTTAGCGACCAATTTTTTTGTTGCCAAAAGTGTTAATAAATGTAGTGAGAGTGAGTGGTTTGGGGAAAAAGATTCGGGTGGGGAAGTTTATATAGGGGTTGATGGGTTGGTTTTGGAAAAGTTGGTTCAGGAACTTGGTTTACATCTTTTGGATTCATGTTTCCCAATTGGGAATTCTTTAACTATTTTTCTGGATTTAGCTTTACTTTCTTGGAAAGTTCGTGTGCAACTTGAGAGAGGAATCGACTTTGAATTTAAAGGGAAGTACTGGAATGAGAGTTTATGTCACGTGTGTAATTATGGGGGGTTTGGATAAAGACGACCTTCAGTCAATATTCTCACCCGCATCAGAATAGTTTGGAAAATGGTTTTTTTTTTTTTCCATTTTTAAATTTTTTTTTTCAAATTCATTCAATAAGTTAAATTAAAAGCTTGATTTAATATAGTTCACTCAAATAGTGAGAATCAAAATTTTTATTTTTATTAAATTGAAAAAACTGCTTTATTCTATCCCAAAAACATTCTTTAACAAATTATGGTGCAAAAAAATTCATATGAAATTCTTTATCTTTTAACATTTTGATCAGATTTAAGTAAAAAATAGTTGTATGAAATTTAATCAAAGATTTGATTCATTCAGGAAAATTTTGGTGAAATTTTAAATGGATAGAAGTTTGATGAATGGATTAAATCTCATATTTATTAAAATTCTCATCAAATTTAATTTGATGAAGGATTTTGTTGAGGACAGGAGATACTCTAATTGTAACGTTTTTAAATTGTAAAACCATATGGGATAAATTAAAAATATTATGCAAATAAAATCAACAATGTCTAGAATATATGATAATTTACAAAAATAAAAATAAAAATAAATAATTGATGCTGGTATCTAATTCAGTTGCAACGGAATTAACAACTAATATAAACTTTAAACAACATATCAATAAACTTTTTGTGATTTATTTAGTATTTTTATTTTATATTCCTAATATTATTGAAATAAAACAAGTCGATAAAAATTAAGTGCTTATATATGTTACCGCATACAATTTAGTGATATTCCTAGTTTTTCATTTTTGAATATTTTAAATAATAAATTTTCAAAATGAAACCAAAGTAAGTGAATAAGCCATACACGTGCCTATTTTTTGTGTCCACATATGAGATCAAAAATAGTAAAATTTATTAGGATACAAACTCAAAATTAATTTTTTTTTTCTAAAATAATATTGGGATGGCTTTGTTGAAATTATAAATCAAAATTGTTAGTTTTTTTCCTCCCTAAAATGATGAGGCAATTTTGGAACACATCATTTTGTATGAAAATTATACTTTAATAGTAATATGTTGACATATTTTAATATATAGGAAGTGATGATTTTATAGTTGCGGTTAGGGGTGTGCGCGGTGCGGGTCGGTGTGGTTTAGGAGAAAAATAGAAACCGTATGGCGAGTGGCTGATTGATAAAAATGTCATTAGAATTTGCCATTTTTCTTACCAAAAATCAACGGTTCGGTTGGCAAATAATGATGGATTTGCCTTGGCAGTTCCAGTGGATTGGCAGTTTATAAAAAAATATAATTAAAATTACAAAACTTAAATCAAATATCTAATTTATAAATTAACTGAAATAGTCAATTAAAATTTTCATCTAATATAATATTAAACATTAACAAACTAGTAAACTAAAAATCCAACACTCTAAACAAATTATACAATAACAATTTAACAAGATAATAAATACTAAAAAACATAACATCATCCAACATCCAATATAGTTCTAAAAAAAGGTTCTGAAAAGTTAATCAAAGTTCACAAACAATCCAAAAGTTCAAAAGTTAAACTAAGTCCAACATCTAACATGGTTCTAAAAAAAATTCTGAAAAATTAATCAAAATCCACAAACAATCCAAAAGTTCAAAAGTTAATCTACTCATTAAACTCCACAATAACTTCAATCCTTCACAAGTGCTTCAACCAAACTCCAAAAACTTCATTAATTTAGTAGACATAAGCAAAAAAAACATAAACAAATTATTGGAACAATCTTCTATGTAAAATAAATAAGTTGAAAGCAAATCAAACAAATAAAATAAATTGCTTACCGAATTTATTTATCGAAATGAAAAATACAAAATAGATCCAGTCAAATGTGTGACACTCTGTCCTTAAGACAGATTCGCCCCACCACGGTGCTTACGGATAAATGACGTCTATCTCCCAGGATACAATGATCTTCACAAATTGTAGTAGCACTCTAAACAATTTGTATGGCGAACAAAAAACCTGTGTTCTATACTTTCAGAAATTTTCCTAAAATAATATATAGAATATATATGCAAAAGAGCATAAAAGAAGGGGGAAAAAAATAGATTTTCGGAATGTAGAAATCTGCTAGAATATCTTGGTATTTATAGCACTGAACAGGTTTGATTTTCAAACCGAACATGTGTGTTTTTTAAATGAAGTGCAGTTCAAATTTCAATAGATCTGCTGGAATTATTTGATTTGTCCGAACGGCTGGAATTGTATGAATCTGTCCGAACTGTGCAGTTTCAAATCTGTTGGAAATTGGACCGGTGGAGGCTTGTTTGGACAGAAAAGTTTTGGCGCAAAAATTAAATTAATTTCGTTCTGAAATTTAAATAATTTTTCTCACAAGAATTTGAAAAAATTCAAATAAATTTTGTCCAAAAAATTAATGTTAGAACCGACCCGACCCACAACCTACACCCACGCCCACGTCCGGTCAGACGGTGGCGACGTGCGTGTGTGTGGTGGTTTGAGCCAAGGTTCACTTTGTCTATAACTTCTCATTTTTACAAACTTGGGGTGCCCCTTGGGGCCCAACCCAAGTGTTGCCACCTAGAACCTATATACACACATAAGTTCTCTTAAGTTTCCAATGTGGGATAACCATTTCAAAGAAACCCACATTTACTTCTTCAATTTCTTATTCCACGAACCCGAAAACGACGCCAACTTCTCATTCACTCATAAATGGTTTTGACGAACCATCTTCACCGTGTGACTTGCTATGAAACAAGCAACACGTCACTTCTTTGGACCCACTCTAAAAGATGTGTGGGACCCACTCAATTTTGGGCTCAAAGTTGGCCCAAAATAAGCCTATAAAAATCATAAATTCCAACAATCTTCCCCATGAATGGAATTTGATGGAGAGAAAATGTAATAACATAATCTAATTACAGAGAGTATAGAAATTGAAATATTCTACAAAGGATAAGTAGGTTTTGGCTTTGAACCTTCCCTTGTGAGACACTATCGGATTTACTAACTAACTAGTAAACATGATGTCTTGAACTATTCAGCCATTTGTGTAAACCAAGACAATAGAACTCACACAGTATATTACTAAACACAATATAGTTCTCACTATTGTGTTCGTTTTGGTCTTAAACAACCTGGTCTTTCATGAGTACTCTAGAGAATTGTAGCCTTTCACAAATCTCATAGAACCGACTCAGTTCACACTTACATAGGTGAATCTTATGAAGAGTATCCTACCATACTCCACTAGGTAATCCTAGATATAAGAATCATTAAAAGTATTACTTAACCTAAAACGCTACAAACATCACTATTTCATTAAAGAAATGGGTAGGAGTTTGACTCTCCAGTGATCCTTGTGAGTCATACACAACTTGGTTGTCCCTTTGAGCCTAGATCTTGAGATCTCCAGTCAACTAGATTGGGTTGCCATTGTGGTAACTCTTATTTAATAGGCTTAAGTCCCATTGCCCTCAATGAATTCTCAACTAACTTTCTTGCTAACCATTTGGTTTGTGGATTCGCTATGTTGTCTTTAGATTTCACATATTCAATGGAAATAATT